AAGTGCCAGCTGGCCCTGGCAGGTTGCCTGTGCACACAAAGTGTAGCAAAGTGCCCCCCACACACAAAGTGCGCACACTCAAAAAATTCACACACACACACAGGCGCGCAGGCTCCATAGCAGTGCTACCTATAGGAGGGTCTCGGACCCTCTCAGGATGAAAATGAACCGAAGACCCATTCTGCACATGATTCGGACTGCAAAGCCTTTCATGAACAGTCTGGAGTAAGTTCACAGACTAACCCGCATTACAGTCTACCCAATCACCTAGTCTTTGACGCCTTTTGAAAAAGGGGCTCAGGCAAAGGGAAGGGAAGACAGAATAGGGACAATGAGTAACATCTGCGTCCATTTCTAGCCAGTCCGATTCTTACTTTTGAAAAAGGGTTTGAGTCGGCAATGCAGAAAAGGGTTCTCTCAAAATGAGATCTAAAATCAAGCCATTGTGTGCGCTTGTCTGCGGCTGACATTGCTTTGTCTGTCTTCATAGCTCCATGAAGACCAAGGCAATGTCAGCCGCTGGCCACGTAAAGAGGGGGCGGAGCTTGAACTACCTATCAGATTTGGATCTTTTTTGTCGAAAATTGTGCTGGTACCGGCGGGTGGGACCGTTAGAGGAGAGGGTGGGTTACTGTCAATGTTCAGGCATCACTGACCATCTGTGCACATCTCCGGCTCAGCCTGTAGACGTTGCTTTGATCAGATATAGCTGGACGAACAAGGCAGCTTTGACTGGCTATGACACAATACACTCTTGAAGCGCAATTGCGGGGCTTGGTACAATCGATGTTGTAAAGATGACAGGAGTCGAAGCGTCATGCTGCGAATATCGTTAGGAGTCTGTCTATAACTTCGTGAAGAGCCCTGTGCACTGCAATGAGCTTGTAGGACTTGTCTGTTCGGGCACCGATCGTTCAAGCATTGGGGCAAGGCTGGATTATCGTAATCGTGATATACATATTCTCTTTGCGTGCTCCCCCTGAACCTGACCGCCACACTAACACAATTTGCGTCTGTAAGAGTATGGTCGCATGCGGCTTACTGGTTGCACAGCACTACCGCTTTCGTCCAGCCTTAGCGCGGCCTACGCTACGGACTTCAATTGTACCATTGACCGACTCGTTCAAACCAGTCCCATCCTTTCAGGCCACCACATTTGCTTCAATCGATGGACAGTAGTGCTAGGTCGTCGAAGTCTTTTGAGGAAGCCGCTTCGTCGAGGACGAGGCTGATGGCTAGGGCTCCGTCGATACCATGACGATGGCGCACAAAGGCTGTCTGATTTGGAGGTATCGCCTTTTCTGCTAGACATTGGAGCCTTGCTGTGATCGCAGCCGTGTAGATCTTGTAGTCGCAGTTGAGGAGTGAGATCGGCCTCCAATTGCTAAGTTCCATTCGCAAACCCGCTTTGTGGATGAGACGTACTTGAGATTGGGACCACGAGTATGGCAGCTGTGGGTATTCCTGTGTCAAGATTGATGCTAGGTCGTTCAGCAGAGTAGGGAAGGCCAGGTAGAATCGATAGGGTAGTCCGTCCGGCCCTGGTGATGTGTCGCCCTTCTGTACTAGCAGCTTGCATCGTGACAGCAGCTCTGCTGCCGTGATTGGTTGGTCTAGGTCCTCTCGTAGATCGTCATCGTAGGTAGGCTGAAGCTTTGGTTGGAGCATCCGAAGGGCTTCTTCTCGTTCAAGCCCTTCTCGTTCGGATTCGGCTGGTGCACAGACATCGGTATCGAAGATCTGCGAGAAGTGTTTGTGTACGAACGAGTTTGTCTGCTTAGGACCGATGACGTTGCCCGTGCTTGGATCTCGCAGTAGACTGATGGTATCCTTGGTGCTCTTCGTCATGGCGTGGGCGAGATGGGATGCATGGTCACCACCCACAGTGCCTGCTGCCATTCTGGCTCGCAGGCTAACGCCGTACGAGCGTTTTTCCCAGATACGCTTGAGCTCTGCCCTGGCGTCTCCTAGCACTACTGGATCGAGAGAGTTGAGGCGCTTTTGGCATTGTCTCAGGCGAGTGTTGAGATCCTTGGCTCTCTGCTTGCAGTACGTCTATGAGACCTCTGCTAGCCGGTATTTGGCCCAGTTCCACCATTGTCGATCGTCAGCAAAGAACCTGCGTTGTGACTGCAGGCTCTCGTACTCGGCGTTGATGTTCTCAATGTATCTGGGTTCGCCAAGAACAGAGGTGTTGAGACGCCACTGGGTACTGGGCTGGGATCGTCGACCTGGCATCGTCTGTCAAGCGGTTACGGCTTGTCGAGATGGCTGCCGTCGCTCTCGTGGAGGCCAGGCGAAGGAGCATTCAAGCATTCGATGGTCACTGATAGGAGAGGAGTGGAGTTGATAGCCAACGCTTTGGAGGCTCCATCGTGCGAAGCAGAAGTCTATGCGGGATGCGCTAACGATCCCGCCATTGCGCACGTGTTGGTTGAGGCGGTAGGATGCTGCTAGGTCGTGGTAGTAGATCTTGTCGAGGTTAGGGTTTGAGCAGTCGTTGAGGTCTCCCACGATAACGTCTGTCTCGATGAGGAGTTGCTCCGATGGTCGAACCCTGGATACGATGGTGTCGAGGACTGGGTACTGTGATTATGAGGGCAGGTAGTTAAGTGGTGATGGGCAGCGCCTGACACTAGGTCGTATAAGAACACGCAACTCTCAAAGGCTGAGCAAGCTCAAGGGGTGAGGGCCGCCACAATAGGATGGCACAAGTATCGCCATCTCCGAACGCAACACCGTGCGCAAACACATTGTCTTCTTCGGGCGCATCGACGCCATCGCCACTGGCCAATGCTCCGAAAGACGTTACCGGTATTTATACCAATGAAGTCGCCCAGAGCGATGGTACCTCGAATGAGACAGCAGGCCGCCATGTATACTGCCTCAACCCTCGGTACTGCCACCTCCATCGCAGCGGAAGCCCGCAAGGGAATGGGCAGACTAATTTTGGCGGACGTCCTCATTGCTCCCAATGCACGCCGATGCGTTGCCAATTGGATCGAGACACACTCGAGAGACGGCTATCGGATTGTGAAAGGTCAAGCGATTTCTAGCGAATACAATGACAGCAGCAACCGCGTTGTCGCGCTCGCATCAGACAGGCGCAGGCTCCACCCCATAGATCAGCGACGTCATGGGATTTGCCGTCCTGACAGAGATCAGGTGCGAAAGCAAGAACCCTTACGCACATCAGGAGGAGCCTCCGCCCATGTAGCTGTGAGTTTTTGTAGTGCTTTGGAAATCCGAAAATTGCAAGCATTCGTCCCACAAAGCTATTTCCAGACCCACTGCCTTGTTCCAAACAGCCTGCAGCCGCTCCATTTTGAGTGGGGAGGGAGGATCTCGCGCAATCATTCCTTCCAGCAGCGCCACACCTGCTTGCGCAGTGTTGCGATATTCCTCGGATAGGTAGCCATCAAGCCAGACGCGAAGACCTCTGTCCAATGGGTCACTTGCCGAATTTTCCGAAGCAAATGAGGATCTGCCGAGTCGGGTGAGCTCGTTCTGCAGTAGCAGAGCCATGTCGGCATATCCGAGGAGACAAGGCATCGTCGCTGTCAATATTGTGATCAGGTCACCGCCTCCTCTTGCAAGGTCCATCACATAGCGGGTATAAGCAATGACCGCTGTCCCCTCTTCCTCCTTGTCCAGATCTACAACGGATGTCATGCCGAAGTAGGTTGTACAAAGAGATACGTGCTCAGCAGCCTCTAATGCCATGGACTTCGACAAGGTATTGAAGAAACCAGCAAGTTGAAAATCTCTTGAGAGTGAAGAGGCCAGTGAGTAGACTTTCGAGAAGGCGAGGAGAAAATGATAGTCTTGCTTGAGGTAATAAAGGAATGATTGCAGCGGAAGAGGCAATCGTTGTATGGTATTGCTCGTGAGCACCGTTGTGCGATTCTGACCTTCTCGAAGAGCACCCGGCTGAGCAAGGGCCAGCACAAAGGGGTGGCCGATGTATCGATTCCACAGCGGCAGCGATCTTGAGAGGAGAGAAGTGGTGAATGGAGCTGGATCTTGACCGAGGCTTTTGCCGACCTCTACTTGTAAGGTAGCAGAACACTCGTGTAGGTCTTCGTGCTCAAGAAGGCCAGGAGCAGTCGACGTAAGGACGCCTCTCCTTTGTACGCTGACTCCGTGGTCAAGGGCGCCAGGCCCACTTCCCAGATCCTCGTAACCTCTTATGATAGCTGCGTGAACGTAATTGATGGACTTCCAGGTTGCTAATCTCAGCGCATCCGCTATCGGCCGCTGTTCACGCTGTCTCCATTGCTGTTGTGCGAGATGGACTGCGAGAGCCGATGAGAGTGTGCAGCCTGTGCCGTGCGTACAGGAGCGGCTGACTTGACCTGTGACGAAGATGGTGTATTCATCGTGCACTCGATCGTAGAGGACATCGACCATGACCAGGTCCTGTGATTCCCCTCGGACCCCCCCTTGCTGAGTCAAGGATCTCAGAAAGAGAGAGTACGGTGTGGAGTCGGCTCGTATGCACGTAATCTTTGCCATGTCTCGCTGTGAGCTGCTCTCTGTAACACTGCATCCCGCAGAAAGACTATCATACTCATCCTGTGACGATGGTGCCGAAAGTGTAGGTCTCAGCCCCAGAGTCTCCAACTGCTCGTTTAGATCGGCGCGGCGCATCGGCTCATGGCCCCCTTTGAGCAGAACTGCTTCGGGACCATGTTCGGTGAGGTATCTTGCGGCGCGTAACCGTGAGGCAAGGGTCTTAAAGCCGGTCTCCAGTCGAGCTCCAACGAGGTCGTTGCGTCCTGTCTTGTGCTGCTGCTGCTCTTGTATGTGAGCGATGATCTTCTCTGCTTCGGGTAGATTGGGCGTCAAGAGCGTGCAAAGCGGTAGCAATCTTGTCACGATTGAATCGATTGCATCGTCGGAGAGGAGGACGGATCCACTGGTGGAGACCATGACTGGGTCGAGTACGATGGGCACTGACTGTCTGCTGACCTGAGAAGCGCGTATGCGCTTCAATTCTTCCTCTACTGCGCTGGTAATTTCCTCGTTGCCCAGCATCCCAATCTTCCAGCCATCGATGGCAATGTCATTCGTGACACTCTTGAGTTGCTGACGGAGGAATTCCACAGGAGGGTAGTGAATGCCCTGTACGCCGCGTGTGTTCTGGGCGGTGAGTGCAGTGATGGCGGAGAGGCCATAGGCTCCGAGTGCGAGGAAGGTCTTGAGGTCGGCTTGTATCCCCGCTCCGCCGCCTGAGTCAGATCCGGCAATGGTACATATGCGCACGGTATGATGTGGGGCATCGGCGGTGGTCATGGTGTGGTAGAGACGGAGGGCGAGAAGGACGAGAAGGAGGAGGAGGATCTAGTAATTTCCGTTGGGCAATTCTTCTTGTGCCTTGCGCTCACGTCAATCAAAGCAACGCGTTGCCGGCGGGCGGAGAAAATCAAGTGGAGGCTGCTGAGAGATTGGCGGAGCGTCGATCTAGGCGAGATCTGCCCCGAGGCAGAGGCAGGTAGAGGACGCAGGCAGACCCTGATCCGAAGATACCCATCGCCGATGCTGACGTCGTTCAAGTGTTACTACCAGGACCAAGGTACCAAGATGGGCGGTAGACAAGACCACCAGCACGGGGAGGCGCGCGTCATAAGTGCCACAAGTTCATGCGCATGTCTCCCCATTGACGACTGACTCCTTCTTTCGCTGCGCGGAAAGCCCCTGTACCTCACCAAACTGAAGCACTGCGAGGTGCACACGTCTCCTTTTGTGCCACGCCTGAGCTCAGTGTAGAGTAGCCAGCCAGCCAGCCATCGACGTCGAAGAGGGCGAGCGCGACGCGTCCAGTCCAGTCCAGTCCAGTCGAGCCTTTCCCGCACGTGGCGCTGCCCAGCCACGCTTCTCGTCCGTCGGCTTCCGCTCCGAGGCGAAAGATGCAAGATGCGCCTCCTAAGTAACACTCGGGGTAGATTTCCTACTGACCATCACTCCTCCCTTTACCAACTTCACCGCGGCGACGTGGGGTCGTAGTCACACACTCATCTGTCAGACGTCGCCACTGCTTCCTACTCTCATCGCCTTGATGCAGCCGACGATCGTCACTCGCACCACGCCCAACGCCCATCATGTCTACCCAAGAGGCGCATAGACGGTCCCCCTCGCCCACCAAGAGCCAGCGGCAGACATCGCGGCCAGCTTCCCCAATCAAAGGGCCCCTCCATCGCATGCTGCAGTCCATCACTCCGTCCCCCTCTGGATCCTTTGGAGGAGGACCAAAGCTGTACGAGACACTCGACCAACCCAAGAGCAACGCCTCGCGCAGCAACTCGCTCTACAACGATCCTACGGCTCATGGTGACCATTTGCCTTCGGATACCTTCAGCCCAGAGCCAACCCGGCCCAGGAGTCGAGCAGATAGTACAGCAGCTGTCAAAGTGGATTACATGGCATCCTCTCCACTACACACCAACGGCACAGTCAACGTATACCACTCCGACATCTCGAGCGATGCGTATCACCAAGAAGCTGCGAGCGCTGGCATACCGCCTTCTGGGTCTCGAGGCAGAACGCTGAGCTACACCTCGGGAGATGCCTATGCACCATGGGTCATACCACCACAACAGCAACACCAGTACGATCCACAGCCAGCTCCTTACATACCTCAACCGTACGACCAGCGCTATGCCAATGCTCATCCTCATCATCACCAGCCCGAGCATTCACAGCCTGGTCCTCCCCTGCCTCTGCCTGCGCCTTCCTCGCAGTCCTTGCATAGAGGTCATTCGCTTCAAGAGGCCCCACATCACCGCTCCTATTCACCGCGTCCTTTCGGAGGCCAGCCTGCGACCTCGTCTGAAGCTACCTCCTCCCATGCTGGTCTTCAGAATCCAACCTACATGCCTCCTGCGCCCCAATCGGGATGGCAAGCCAACCAAACGGGGCCTCGACATGAACCTAATGGTCCACAAAGGCGATACACTTATGGTGGACCGCCCCAAGGATGGCACAGCGAACAACAGCCCCCTGATCTTCAGCTATCCTACCAGCATACGCCCCCACCTCCTCTTCCCGGACCTCCGAGCTGGCAGGGCCAACCATCCCAGCCTCCACCGCAAAGGTCGCCTTCCCCTCTACCGCCTCCGCCCATCTCCCCTCGCTCATCCTTCCCCCAAACGCTTGATTCTCACGGCTCGTTCCCCTACCCAACGTCGGCCGTTGCGGCCATTGCACCTGCAACACCGAAAGGACCATTGCCGAGCGCAATACCGCCACAATCACCAGTCTCCCGGGGAGCTGGTACTGTCAGGAGATCCCTGCCTCAACCACCGGGCACGCCGCCCGGGCTAGCTCGTCCCCCGACTATACCAAACTATGTGCCAGGGCAGACTCCTCCTACCACACCCACTCAAGCTTCTACCTATCTGAAGGGTGCAGGCCTCGCTACGCCTCTATCACCTATTTTGGCTACGCCCCCTGCTGCTCAACCTTCTACGATAGCTGCTGTAGAAGTGGCCAAAGCCACTGCTCCTACAGCCTCTGCTGCAGAAGGAGCCATGCTTCCAACAGGGTCGTCCCCCACTTCTGCCTCCTCCACTACCTCTTTCGCTCCTCAAGCCAGCTCGCCCATCAATGGAACAGCTCTCAGCAGATCAGACAGCATTCTTTCTGCTGCTGAAGAATTGATGGCCAGAGGTATGCCCTCAAGGCGAGGCAGAGGCGCTTTTGGTCGCTTTGGTCGAAGCCCGCTGAGCGCTACACCTGCTACGCCGACTGCTAATGAGAGCACAGATCGGCAACATGAGCGGACAGATCGGCAACACGAGCAGCCCGTACCTGCTCACCTGCAGAATCAGTCGGATGGAGGTCCAAATCAGCGGGCGGAAAATGGCATTCCACCGAATGAGGCGGAAAAGCTCAGCGAGGCCTTCAACGGCATCAGCCTCCAGACTGGTAACGCTGCTGTGATTTCAGAAGCTTTCAGCCCCACATCAGAAGTCTTCGACAGCTCCATTCCTCCTCTCCGGCCATCCTTGAGGGGTCCTAGAGATGATATAGAGAACGATCGAGACCCGAAGTATTCAACGGAGCCTGCAGTGAGCTCGGTGACGCCTCTGCCGGAGCCGCAGAGGAGGCGAGCGCCAGCTTCTTTTGCAGAGGCGCAGCAAGATGTAGCAGCTGAACGTCCTCATTCGACCCAGACTTCTGCCCACACGACCCAAGAAAAGGCTCATTACCCACAGCAAGCAGCGCTCCAGGGTCTCGCAAGGGTAGAGAGTATCAAATCCGCTGCTGCAGCCATTCCCAAGATCCACTCACCGCCGCCCAATGCTGCCCCACCCGTTCCCTACATTGCTCTGCCAGACGAGGATGATGTGGCATCCGCAGGTGGACCGATGATCGCCATATCCGCTCCCGAGGAGGAGAGCGTCAGGGCGCCAGAGACTAATGCGAAAAGCAACGGCACTTCTGCAATGCCATCGTTCAGTTTCTCGGGACCAGACGAAGAAGAGGCTACGAGTGGGCCCACGATCAACATCATGGGCGTGGAAGATGATGATAGCGAGGGGAACGGTCCTGTGATCAGTATCTCTGGCTCTGATGCCTATGATGATGGCTCTCGATCCAGTGGCGTTGGCATGACCCCGTCGATCTCCCTCTCACACACCTCGGGCTACACTCCAGCCATGCCACAGCGTGCATCAGCCACCTCGTCCACTTCCCTGGCCGAGCAAGCCGCTCGAGCGCAAGCCGAAGCTTCCAAATGGAATGGAGCTGTCCCTCAAGCTCCCTTCGATCACCTCCAGTCTGCATCCTCGGTCGCAGGCACCACCTGTGGATCCTGCTCGAAGTATATCGCCGGTAGAGTCGTGCAAGCCATCAATCAATCCTTCCATCCAGCCTGCTTCGCTTGCAATCACTGCAAAGAACTATTGGAACACGTAGCTTTCTATGAGCACGAGGGGAAAGCGTACTGTCACTTTGACTATCACGAGCTCTTCTCTCTCAGGTGCTTCCACTGTCGCACACCCATCGTCGATGAAAGATTCATCCAGATCAACGATCCGGAGCTACTTTCCTCCTCTAATGCTGCTGCAGCCAGTCAAAAGGGAGGCAAGAATGGGACAGTAGGAGGAGCGGCTGGTGGTGGGGCAGCAAGCGCAGGGGTGAGGTATTATCACGATTTGCACTTCTTCTGTGCAAATTGTGGCGATCCTTTCATCGATCCAAAGGTCGCCAGCAGTACCTCTGGCAGCGAGCGAGGCAAGATTCAAGTCGATGAAGCTGGCAGGGTGCTGAGCGGTGGCAAAGCATTTGTTGTGTGGAAAGGGTACCCGTACTGTGAATCTGTAAGTATACAACACTGATCGTTACTGCAACAAGCCCGAGCAGAGGTACTAACTGACATACGTTCTCCACCCTCGCCTCCCGTTTCAAAGTGCCATCACAGTGTACACAAACCATCCTGCAAGGCCTGCCGCAAGCCAATTCTGTACGACGTGGTTACTGCTCTCAAGGGCAAGTGGCACCCGGAGTGCTTCGTCTGCGAAGGATGCAAGCAACCATTTGAGGATGAGCGAGTCTTTGTAGATACTCAAGGTAGAGGATACGATGAGGAGTGCTATCGTATATGGTTGAAGGGGACCCTTTGAGGATCTCATCGCCCGGAGAGGGGAGGGCAGAGAAAAGTTCCGTGCTGTGTTGAGTATGTTTGTCGCACCCTGCTGTAAATATCTCGTTCGCTGCTGCCCTGCAATCATGTCTGTAGTCAAGGCCGCCCTCCCGCATCCCGACTCGTCTTCACTGAGCTCTCAGGTCGTATCGCATCATTGTGTGAACGTGAATAGAAGACATTGACTCCACAACAGCTCGCGCCCCGTCTATCGACCTTACAGCGTGACATACCGAACGGCGCACCATCCTACCCCTGCTGTACATTTCTTCTCTCCTACACAACCATCATTGGCCGGGAGCATCCGCATGCCTCAGCCGTGGCGTCTCATTCGGATCTCCTCCTCCACTCCCCCGACCTTGTTGGCCCCACTCCGCTCTGGCCTCCCACGGCGCCCTAGTGGCTCCACTGGCTGCTCCGCCGCTTCCTGCTGCACCACTGCCGCCGGCACTGGCAGCTTCCCTCCTGTCCTCTTCAAAGTAATTCTCCCTCGCAGGTGGATCGGGGTCATTGTAGCTACTCGGGGGAAAGTATGCTTCGGAGGCAGAAGGAGATGTTATACTGGCACTCCCACTGGCACTTCCCAGACCGGCAGGCGGCGGTGGCAGGGTCGTGGAATTCGAGAGAGACGAATAGCCAGAGATGGAGGATGCAATCGACTCTGATCGACTCATGGCAGGCTGACGAGCACCCGAAGGAGAGGCAGGAGCGTTCTCATCCATGCCAGAGGTAGTGTCTTGCCCATGGCGGTAGGGTTGAGTTGTGTCGTAAGGAATCTGGTTGAAGAGGACCGAAACAGACTCGCCGTAATGAGAGCGGCGGATCGTCTCTGCAAGAACGTGAGAGATGTCGATCTAGGAGTGCAAGAAGGTGGGCATGAGCTGTAAGTCACGACATCGACGCCCGTTGAGCCCTTCTGCCACCCAACCACTCACCTCTTCGATCTTGGGACATTTCCTCCTATTTCCGCTTTGAGGAATGGTGTTGGTTACGATGAGCTTCTCCAGCTTACTACTCATGATTCTTTCTAGTGCTGGAGGCGAAAGTACGCCGTGGGTGACAATGGCGAGGATGCTCTCTGCACCGCACTCTGCTAGCCGCTCGGCTGCGAGGGCCAGTGTACCGCAAGTGTCGGCCATGTCGTCGACCAGGATCGCTGCCTTGCCTTGAACATTACCAACAAGTACCATCCTGGACACTTCATTTGCCTTTTTGCGCTCCTTGTGAAAGAGTGCGAATTCGACGTTGAGTCGATCTGCCAGGGACGTCGCCCTCTTTGCTCCACCTGCGTCTGGGGACACGATGACTGCCTTTGAGCAGTCTACCATTTCCCGAATGTACTGCAGTGCGGCTGGCTCTGCATAGAGGTTGTCTACGGGCACATTGAAGAAGCCTTGGATCTGACTCGCATGAAGGTCCATTGTGATGACGTGGTCGCAGCCGGCATTCTCGATCATATTTGCCATGAGCTTTGCTGTGATGGGAGCCCTACTCTTGTCCTTCTTGTCCTGTCGGGCATAGTAGAAGTGGGGGATGACGGCAGTGATACGTCGGGCAGAGGCAGTCTTGCAGGCGTGGATCATGATCAGCAGCTCCATCAGCGAGGTGTTGGGCGATGCCGAGGTACCGTAGGGCGTGGGTGAGCAGCAGGCGGTATTGATAATGTAGACGTCGTGCTCTCGTACAGACTCTGCGATGCGGATGATCGATTCGCCAGACTCATTGCGGGTGACAGTCGCTTTGCCGAGAGGTTGGCCCAGTCTGTGTGCAGATGGAGAATAGCAAAAGTCAGAGGATGAGCTGCGATTCATGACGACTTCGGCGAGATGCTGCTGCTGCTGCTGCTGCTGGCTGCTCACCTCCGTGCGATCTTCTGGGCCAACTCAGGGTGGCTGCCACCGCTGAAGACCTTGATGCCGCCGACGTTGGCAGACATGGTGGAGAGGGGCAGGCAGGTCTAGACTACGAATAGGATAGAGGAGACGGTGATGGTGATGGTGATGGTGAGTATCAGAGTATCAAGGGAGAATCAGCTGCCGAGGCCGAGGCATGCCGCTTCAGCCAAGAAGAATCCTTTGGCCGCCCCCCGCTCCGGACTCAGCTCGACTCCGCCGCTTCCGCTTCCGATCCGATCTCGCGCTCGCGGGCGTGGAGGGCGGAAGGGGCTCCTAAGCACAATTCCCAAGACGCTCCCTCCTGACCTCGTCGCTCTTGTCGCTTCCATCCTCACCTCACCGCATCTACCATCCATCCCCACTACGGCCGCTGCTGCCATACGTCAGCCTGCCCTGCCCCGTCGACGATGACGCCGCCTACCTTCTGGAGGCGCAAGTCGCAGCGGCCCCCGTCCCCACTTCCACCCTCGGAAAGGGAACCCCTGTTAGCCCCTAACAGCGGTAACCCTTCCTCTCCAAGTCGCCCGCTCAGTCAAGCTTCATCCAATGCTACGATACGCATAGATTACGACCATGATCAGCAGACGACATCATCTCTGCGTCAAAGACCTACTCGCGAAGCTCTGTACAGCCTCATTTACTCTACAGACTCACGGGGCAACCGGTCCACAGCCTACCTCATCATCCTCACCCTGTCTCTTCTGGGAGCTCAGATGGCATGGTCTCTGCAGCTCTCCTATGGAACGCCCTATCTTCTTTCCCTCGGATTGTCCCCGCAACTCACCTCACTCGTATGGCTGGCGGGGCCCCTCTCGGGTCTCATTGCCCAGCCGGTGGTGGGATGCCTTGGCGACGCCTCCAATTCCAAATTCAAGAGACGATACTATATGCTCGTGTCAACTCTAGTTACCATCACCTTCACTCTAGCACTCGCGTTTGCCCAACCCGTATCAGAGGCACTCGTCGACCTCTTTGCGCTCGGCCTTGGGGACTGGGACCCAATCCGGGAGGCCCGCGTGGCCACTGCAACGCGGACCCTTGCCGTAGTCAGCTTCTGGATCTTGGACTTTGCTCTCAATTCGTTGCAGGCCAGTGGCAGAGCTTTGGTCCTCGACAGACTCAACGGAGATGAGATGGACAGTGGGAATGCCTGGCTGGGCAGAAGTAAGTCAGACCCCACGTCACTTGTGTCTCATATATCAATCATTGCTGACCCTACACTGGTCAATGATCTCCCCAGTGACTCACGTCGGCAACATCCTCGGCTACTCTGCTGGGTACCTCGATCTTTCCCGCCTCAGTATCCTCTCCTGGCTGGGGGGCGATCAATTCCGCAAGTTTGCAGTCATTGCCCTCCTCGGCCTTGTACTCTCCGTGGGCATCACCTCTTCCCTGATCACAGAATCGTACTCAGAGGCGTCCACCTTCTCCTCTACTCCTGCAAGTTACGTAGAGCAGGCCGGTCCCTCATTCACAGAGCGCCTCACAACACTAGTCAAGGACATGAGGGACGCATTGAGGAGGCTGCCGAGACCTATCAGGCGAGTCTGCCTTGTTCAGCTATTCGCCTTCATGGGCTGGTTTCCCTTCCTCTTCTTTTCGACTACCTACATTGGAACTTTCGAAATACCCGGTCGAGGAAGACCGGAGCGGGAAAGAAGGGAAAGAAGGGGTACCGAGGGGATGTTGTAAGTACCAGCGTGATCGCGTTCGACGTTGTGCGCAAAGCTGAAGCGAGACGCTGACGATTGAATATCCCC